GTCATTGCCAAAATCACTGTCAGGATCCCTATGAGACAGTTAACATAACATGCCCAATACAGTTCTAGGAACCCCCATTTTACCACGGATTATTTTGAGTTCATTCCACTTCAGTTAATTCAGCAGGAAACCCCAAAGGCATCACATCAGCTTCTTTAGGGAAGCCAATGTTTACAACACAGTTAGCTGAGGGGTTTCTAAATAAATGTCAAACCTGCATCACCACCTCCACGCCAAACTTCAGCCAGCCACAGTTCCAAACCAGCACAGAACCAGCTCCTACCCAACACGGAGGGGAGGCGCCTGCCCCAAACACAGCCGTGTGTGGCCTCCAGGGCACCGAGCAACCCCACCGCATGCAAAAAAGAACCAGCTCCGTGCCGCCACTCCAGATCTCTGTGGCACAAGAATCTCCCACCCGCCAGGCACTTCCAGGCGGGATGCGCACGGGCCCAGCGCGGGTGGACAGGAGAGGCAGGCGAGCCGCGCCCGCAGCCTCGGCCCGGGGACGGGCTCGGGCCCCGCGGCAGGGCCGGAGCAGGCAGGGCCGGCCCCAGCGGCAGCTCCGCGCCCCCTTCCTCGGTCTGACGGCGACCCCGCCTCCGCCCGCTGGCGACACCGCGGAACCTCCGGTGCAGCCCGGCCCGCAGGGCCGCCGCCGCCGCCTCAGCGCTGCTGCCACCGGGCGGTGCCGCCCTTCACGGACAGGCCCCGGGGAGGCCGCGCACACCGGGCGGCAGGGAGAAGGAGCGGGGCCGCGGCGAGCGGCGGCCCGAGGAGCGGCGCTGGGTGCCAAGGCGGCGGGAGGGGAGCGGGGGCGGAGAGTCCCGGGCAGCCCCGGCCTCACCTGTCCCGGCGGGTCCCGCCCGGCTCCGGCCGCGCCGCTCCCGCCTCTGCCGCGTGCAACTCCCGCCCGGCCCCCCCCGCCGGCCCGCGCGCTCCGGCCAATCAGCTTTCGGTACCGCCGGCACCACCGACCAATCAGAGGAGAGAACGCGTCCCCGCCCAGCGCCACCGGCAGCCAGGCCACGCCCATCCACCCTCCCGCCAGGCCTATCCCGTGACATGAGAGGGGGCGGTGTCCGCCGCCCGACGGCCAATGAGAAATCACAGCGCGTCCCGCCGCAGCCAATCGGCGGCCGCAAGGCGCCGCTCCTCAGAAAGGGCGGGCGGCTGGGCCGTGCCATCACGTGACCGCTTGGTGACAGGGACTCCCCTCAGCCCGGCCGGGCCCGCGGCGGCACGCGGGGTCCCGGAGCCTGAGGGACTCGCTCCCGGGCAGCGCCCAGGGGAACAACCCCTGGGCATGAGTGGGGCGTGGCCGCCTCCGGTGTCTCGGCCGGGCCAGGATGGCGCGGGGTCGCTGCCTCTGGCCTCGCGTTCTACGGAAGCCCCTGAATGGTCAAGAGCTCGTGAGGCCTCCCCGCTCCATCGCCCCGCTCAGCCTCGGGCAGCTGCTGCTTCTCTCTGCCTGGATGTGCCTCCCCCGGGGCTGCATGGCCTCTGCCCCTCGCCTCGTCCCTGCATTTCCCAGTCCGTGGCGTTACTTCTGCCGTTCACATCCTCATCCTGCGGACCAGCCCAGCTAATGTAGTTAGGGGGTGACCTCAGGCTTTCTCACAGCCCAGGTTTTACAGTCCAGGATCCTGCGGGCTGCAATCACAGAGTAGTTGAAACTGGAAGGGTCCTGTGGAGATCACCCAGTCCAACCCCTCTGCCAAGGCAGGGTCACCCAGAGCAGGTGATAGGAAGGCGTCTGGGTGCGTTTGGAATGTCTCCAGAGAGGGAGACTCCACGGCCTCTCTGGGCAGCTGTTCCAGTGCTCCCAGCTGCCAGCACAAAGTGGTGCTGCCCGAGTTGGTGTCTCTGCAGCCTCCGGAAAGAATGAGCTGAGCCCAGCCCCAGACAGGTCTGGAGGGTTTGGGGGCGTGGACAGAGGGATGTCGGTCCTCCACAGAGGACAACCATCCCTGCCTGATGCCAGCTGTGGGTGGAGCTGTCCTGGGCCTGTCTCTGAGAGGTGCAGTGGCAACTCTTCCTCCTAGTCCCGCAGATGTTGAATCTTTGCAAATGCACTGCTTTGGGTGATTTCCCCGGGAAAAATGTGTGGGAAAAGGGGGAGGTGAGTGATGGCAGGAAAAGCCTCTGGGCTGGAAAATGAAGGAGGAAGCAGCACTCTGGGTTGGCAATAGGGCAGGGGGAGCAGGTAGAGAGGTGATAGGCAGGAGGCAGCACCTGGAGGGAGCTGGGTGATGGGGCAGCTGGAGCTATGGTGTGGGGCAGATGGTGCCATCCTGAAGAGGAGCTGCTCCAGAATGTGCAGAAAGAGTTTGTGGAGCATGTGAGCAAACCGGTGATCTCTGGGATGCTGGACAACCTGCTGACCCAAGGGGTTCTGAGCCTCGGTCAGGTGGAAGAGCAGCACTGGGGAGTGTCTGAGACTCAAAGGCAAGGGGCAGTTGGGTATCACGGCCCTGAGACCCCTTGCCACCCTGTGATGACGGAACTCTTGGGGGTGGCTGTCCGCCATGGGCCTGAACAGGGGCCCCAAGGGGCCCTGCCCTGCAATAGCCCCTCTTGCTTCCCAGTGTAACTGAGGGGCTTTCTGCTAGCAGGGCCCTCTGCTGTGCCACTGGCCTTTCCTGACACTGAGGTGCCCCCTTAGCCCCCGTTGGCATCCAGGACCAGCACTGGATCCAGCAGTGCTCCCTGAGAGAACACTGCGGCATCGGGGACAGAAGGAGCCCACGTGCTGTGGGCAGAGCAGCTGAGAGGAGGGCTGGAGCATAGCCCTGCCACCCTGATGGGGCAGGCATGGGCTGAGCGGAGCCAGGGGCCTGCCTGCCAAGGAGCAGGGCAGGAGATCACAGAGTAAGTTAAACTGGAAAAGATCTTGAGGTCATTGAGTCCAGCCTTTAGTGCAGGGAACCCCCTGCCAGGGCACGCGGCTGCTCCGGACACGCGCAGACCCCGCTGGCAGCACCAGGCCGGGGCTTTGTGACCGCCTTCCCTGGAGGCAGGGCCCCACCCCCACCGCCCCCCGGCTCTGCCTGCACTCCTCCTGCCAATTTTATCTCCCCCGCCAACCACTGCGGTGGAAATTGGCTTCTCCTGCTGCGTCTCAGATGGCTCCAGGCCATGCTACCATGGCTGCTGGGAGAACAGGAGAGCAGAGACTCGAAGAAAATATTCGCATCACTTGTGTCTTCCCTAGGATGCCATGTCCTTTTTCCATGCTGTTGGTCAGATGGGCCATTTGGTCAGATGGGCCAAATGATTTTGGAGAAGGCCAAATGATCTTGGAGAAGGTGCCCCAGTCCCCTGGTCTGGCACCCAGCATTAACCACTGTTGCAGTGAGGGACACTAGTGAAGTCACACTTGATGTCTTCTGTCACCCCAGATCCCATATCCTGCAGGTCATCAACAGGCTCTATTTCTACCCAATGCCCGATAGAGCAGTTTTGAAGTCATGCCTGCAACAGCCACACAGAGGTCTTCCTAAAGGCGGGGTTTGTGGTTAACTGCAGTTGCATCAAGGATCAGACGTCCTGCTTGGAGCAGAGCTCAGGCCAGGACAGGTCCTTTCTTGGCAGGCTCCTTGGGAGCAGGCTGTCAAAAAGGGGTCTGGCTTTGCCTGGGGAGTCAGCTGGATCTCTGGAGGCATCAGCACCCTGACACTTGACAGCATAGAGCCCACTGAGTCAGTGCAGCCCATGGCATCCCTTGTGCCACCAGACACATGTCTGGACGTGCCCTTGGGATGTCTCTTGAATTCCCTGTACCCTTCCCCTGCAGGAACATAGCCGCTGTCATTTCTCCCCGCTGTCTCTCTCACCCCAGGTCCAACAAGGCTTCCCTGTGCTCCCTCAGCAGATGCCTTCACAAGAATGGACTACAATGTTGCTCCACCTCTAGAAAGCTCTACCTCTCCTCAGGGCACTGATCTCCTGCCATGGTGAGACTCTTCACCTTGCACCTTGCAGCTGCCTTTTGTCTGTGTCCCAAACCTTGTACCTGGCCAGCAGGAAGGAGTGGGGAGAAATCCCCCACTGATCCTGGGCTCCAGAGCTTATGGCTTAGTCCAAAGGTCTTGTGTGCTGATAGCTGGGGCCAGACCCCACCCCCAGCTAGCTTGTGGCACCCAAGGAACTAATTTCAGTAGTTGTGACTCTGGAGCTTATTGGTCTGACATTCTTCACGGGAAAAAAGTAATACACAGAGAGCAAAAGTGTTTGAATTTCAGGGTGATATAGCAGGAAACTCAAGGCCAATGCAGCCCAGCTCCAGAGAGGAGAGGAGAGGAGAGGCAAGAACAGCTCTGCAGAAACATAGCAAATCTCCAAAGCAGTCCCTGATGCCTGCTCTGCTAGGCAACTACAGCCAGACCTGGAATAAAACATCCTCAGTCTTCTGCCCTCCCTTTTGGGGCCTCTGAACAACCCCAAATTAAGCAGACTCATCCCAGGGAGCAGCAGACACCTGGCTCTGGAGCAGCAAAAGCAGAGATGATTAATGTCTCTCTCTTCTGTCTACATGCACAGTGTGTCCCCAGTTGTGACAGAGATGATTTGTCACCCCCATAGTCACTTCTGCCCTGTTCCCAGCTTTACCAGTTGTCCAGTAAAGGGATTTTTGCAGCAGACACCCTGCTCCTCTGCCTCCAGCCCATGGTGGGTGGGTTATGCTGCAAGAGGATGCAGAGCAGGTGGGAGGGAAGAAATTGTCAGGAGCTCAGGGATGAAGTGACACCTGCCTTTGGGACAGCCTGGGCAAACATGCTCCTTGCCCAGGAGGCAGATTCCAAGAGCAATGTTGCAATTTCCCCTGGAAGCCAAGAAAGACCCTCAAATCTGTGTCTCGTGCACTGCTCCCATAGCTTGTCACATTAGGGCCCAGTCCAGCTGTCACCTCCCACCAGCATCCCTGCTGCCAGCTGAGAAGCCCCTCCTATGCCCCCCACACATGCCCTGCCCACCATGGCCACATCCAACCCCTGTTCTGCCTTGGCATGGATTCAGCTTTATTGCACATTCTGCAAAGTCACAGCCAGATCCATGGAAGGATCTGGCAGCAGGAAAACAAGAGGGCTCTCCTGCCCCCTCCGTGTGCCTGACACCCCTGTGCAGGCAGGACAGTGTCCTGAGCCAGTGGCACCCCACGTCCCTGAGAGGTGGCAGGAGATCTCAGCAGGATGCAGGTGCCTCTCTGCTCTGGCTGCAGAAGAATCAGGATGGGAGAAGGTCTTGCAGGCAGGATCAGACTGCAGTGAGGGCAGCCAGTCCCAGCTGAGCCCATCCTCAGAGCCCAAGCCCTGCATCACTGTCCAGAGCTCCTCAGGACCCACATGGTCCCTGCAGAAACCCTGGTCCCCAGTGCTACAGCTGTGGCAGGAAATTGAGGACAGCAGTGATGAATTCTTCAAATTTATCCTGATGGACTATGTGGCCTGCACCCTTAATGTACTGGATCTCTGCATTGGGGAAGAGACGTTGGATCTCTGGGTAGTCTCTGGAGCTGCAGGACAAGGGAACATGCTATGATCAGAGGTCCCTCCTGGTGTCTTCCCTCACCCTCCCCAAGCAGAGGATGATCCCAGATATGACTCCTTTCCTGTTGGGAAAGCCCAGGGGGCTCCTAGGTTCCCCCTCACTCTAGTGTGTCAGTGTCACTGGCTGCTGGAGAAACCGCCCTTGCTCAGGACCTTCCCCATCCCGGGAGCTCCTCCCACTCTTGGCAGCTGCAAAGAGCACAAAAGGTCAAACCACAGACCTGGAACCGCTTCTCTCCGGTCTCACCTGATATAGGGCGAGTCGGACCCTCCCAAGAAGAGTGCAGGACCAGGGTATGGCTTTTGGAAGACAGGGAAGTTCATGATATCTGCCAGGTGCCGGGAAATAGCCTCCAGGTTCACCCGCCACACGTAGCAGCCCTCCACCTCCACCAGGTTGGTGAGGAGGAACTGTCTCAGCTGTGGGAGCTGCCATGGAAGGGGACCATGTTCTCTTCAGTAAGAGCAACAAAACAGGATGTCTTGGCACCCTCCATCCTCCCCATCTCCCACGGGATTTCCTACCTTGACCACGGGCTGCAGCTGGTCATCTGCCAGCTGGCGTGCTGCCGAGCGGGACAGCCCCGCTGGGACCTTCACCTCCTTCATGGCCGAGATGTAGGCAGAGAATTCGGACACAGGGGCGGTCGAGCCAGGACCAATGTCTACAGAGATGAGGCGTTCCACCAGGTCTGGCTGGAGAAACAAGCAGATCAGATGCCAGGATCTCCCAAGATCTCTCCAGTGGGAGTAGGCACAGGGCTCCACTCCCAGTCAGATTCCCTGGAGGCTCTTTGCTCCCTCCTGTCTCAGTAGAGACCTCCATGTGCCCTTCCCAGAGTCATCCTTGGCACAGATCTCCAAGCTCCCTCACAATCAGTGCTGGAGGGACAGGGCAGAGCATGGCCTGGTGGACATAGATTTGCTCCTGCTCCCATAGCCTGGCTTACACCACCCACCCTGATACAGACAAGTCCCTGTGGAGCTGGGGGCGAAGCTGGCCCCAGTGAACAGTCTCAGAAGGTGCTATCCTCTTCCTACAGCGCCCTCCGGAACTTCCTGAGCCTGTGACCCCACTCCCACCCCCGTGCCTGCTGACCCGCTGCAAGGCCAGTGTCATGGCTGTCTTGCCCCCCATGCTGTGTCCCACGAGGATGCATTTGGTGATGCCCAGGCGGCTCAGCAGGTGCTGCACATCCAGGCTCATCGCTTCATACGTCATCACGGGGCTGTGGGGGCTGCTGCCGTGGTTCCGGGCGTCCACTGTCAGCACCTGCCTGGGCAGGAGCAGTGTGTCACCCCAGGCACTGCCCAACGTGACCCTGGACCCCTCCCCTGTGTGCTGTGCCTTCCCCCACGCCCTGGGTCTCACCTTGCCACTACCACGGCGCACGAGTGTCTTGGCCACTGTCTGGAAGTTGCTGTGGCTGCCAAAGAGCCCATGGAGCAGGACAAGGGGTGGCTGATCCTTGCGACCCTCCACCTCCACATGGGCCAGGGGCACTGCACTGCAGGGAGAAAGGAATGGGGTATGGCCAGAGGTGCAGGGGGAAAGTGAGCCTTGCCCCTCTGCCCAGCCCTGGTGAGGCACATTTGGAGTGTTGTGTCCAGTCCTGGGCTCCTCAGGAAAAGGAAGACACGGAGCTCCTGGAGCAGGGCCAGCTCAGGCTGGGAGGATGAGGAGGGCCTGGAGCATCTCGGTGCCCAGGAAAGGCTGAGGGAGCTGGGGCTGCTCAGCCTGGAGAGGAGCCCCAGCTGAGAGGGGCCCTCAGCCCTGGCTGTCCCTGTGTGCAGGGAGGGGCAGAGCAGGGCCCGGGCTCTGCTCCAGGCCCAGCAGTGGCACCAGAGCCACGGGCAGGGACGGAGCCCAGGAACTGCCCCTGCACAGGAGGCAGAACTTCTGCCCTGGGCACTGCCCAGCCCTGAACAGGCTGCCCAGGGAGGGGCTGGAGTCTCCCTCAGCGGGGATACTGCAGAGCCCTCTGGGCACAATGCTGTGCCCTGTGCTCTGGGATGGCCCTGCCTGAGCAGGGAGGTGGCACCAGGGACCTCTGGGCTCCCTTCCAGCCCGGCCCAGCCTGGCATTCTGTGAGAGCGTGGCCAGGGCTGGGCCAAGGGCAGGCGGGGAAGGGGGCGTGGCAAGGGGGCGTGACCAACAGCTCACCACCCGCGTGGGGAACATCGGTGCAAGGGGCGTGGCTTGAGGGAGGCGTGGCCAGCTCCCTCGTGGCGGCCACGCCCCGGCTCGCGGGTTACCCCCCCCGGGACCCTTCCCGGGACCGCTCCCAGGGCGGTTGGGGCCCGGGGGAAGCGGGCCGGGCGGGGCGGCTCCCTGTGGGCGGCGGGGGCTCCGCAGGGCCCTTTCGCCCGCTGCCGCCCGCAGGCACAGCGGGACCGGCCGGCTCAGCCCCGCACTCGCTGCCCCCGGCCTCGCTTTCCCCAGGACCGGCCCCGCGCTCCTGCGGCCGCTCTTGCCCCTTTGTCCCTGGCCGCTGGAGCGTGGCGGCGGGCGGGAGGGAGCGGCCGAGCGGGGCGGCCTCGCCCCAGCGCGGCTCCCGGGGGAGGAAAGCACCTCGCGGCCCCCCCCGGCGGCCCCAGACTTTGGACTGCGGGTAGGGAGTGTCCCTGCGGCATCCAGCGGCTCCTCCGCTGCTTCCCGCCCCGACCGCTCCCGGAGAGCTGCCCCAGGAATGCAGGGGGACAACGGGTTCCCATCCCGAGCAGGGACGCCCGGCGCGCTGCGGCTGAGCCCTCTGTCCCCAGCCCGGTGCCACACGGGTGTCGGCGTAGCAGGGTGTGTAGGGTGCCTTGGGGGCTGGACCGCCGTGTTCTCCCTCCCTGTGCCCACCTCGATCGTGCCGCACATCTCAGGGACACTCGGGTACCAAAACAGGACACGTTTATTGACAAATGTAACCGGTACAGACCACGCGTAACAGGGACAGACGGTGCCGGGCCAGCAGCGATGTGGCACACAGCAGGGGGGCCCTCCCCATCCCGTCCTCATCCTGCCCCATGGGCATGGCAGGACCTCGCCGGGTGCCGCTTCTCCCGCCGACCCGAAACTGCCTCGTGTTTAACCGAAACTGTCTCTATTTACACAGCCTGGCCCTGACCCCGCGGCCGTCCCCGTCCCCTCCTTCGCGCCCCCCCGCCCCGCCCCGGCGCTGCCGCCCCCGGGCCCCACGGAGGGCAGTGAGGGTCCCAGGGTGGGTGGGTGGGGTGGGGGATATCGAGGGGTGCCGGGGGACCCTGGGGGGGGCTCAGACATAGTTCCTCTTGTCGTAGCTGGTGACGGCGGAGCGTGGGGCAGAGTAGGCCACCTTGCCCGTGGGGTACCTGTCGTCTTTGGGGGGGCAGGAGCAGCAGAGCAGGCCCCCCCCCAGCAGCAGGAGTGCGGAGGCTGCCCAGCCCACGTAGAGCGAGGTGCCCAGCTCTCGCTTCTGCGCTTCGATCACCAGCGGGTTGTAGAAATCCCGGATGATGGTGTTGGCCGACCAGCAGACAGGAATGAGGGTCATGACACCAGAGAGGAGGAAGATGACGCCGGAGACGATGGTGATCTTGGCTTTGGTGCTCTCATCCTCCACGCAGCGGGTGCACTGGGCGCCCACGATGGCCACCATTAAGCCCAGGACGGCCAAGATGATGGCCACCACCAGCAGGGCACGGGCAGCTTGCAGGTCCTGAGGGAGCGCCAGCATGGAGTCATAGACCTTGCACTGCATCTGCCCCGTGCTCTGCACCACGCAGTTCATCCACAGCCCTTCCCAGAGGATCTGGGCCGTCACGATGTTGTTGCCGATGAAGGCCGACACCTTCCACATGGGCAACGCGCAGCAGATGATGCTGCACAACCAACCCAGCACGGACAAGGCCACGCCGCCGATCTCCAGCCCCATCGACATGGTGGACGGTTCAGTGACGTGCTCCAGGCGATGGCGGAGAAGAACCCACGGACCGAGACCGTCGCTGCCACCCGCCGCCGCTCGCAGCCGGGGGATCGGCTTACACCTGTGCGCAGTGCTATTTATATGGGCTGGCCCTGGGGTGGGGTTTCAGTGCTGGCTGCTGGACGCTCCTCTCTGCTCCTCCGTCACCGTCACCTGTGTCCCACACCCTCCCCTTTGTTTGCAGAGATGGCGCCGAGTAACCAGAGAAGGGCGGGAGGAGGAGAAACGCCACCTGCCACAGCCATCCCCTGGTTTCGGCCGATGAGTATCGGGAAGCACTACTACCATGCTCATTCCCATCAAACCCCTTCTGTGAACCTGGAAGTCCCAAGTGTTCACCTTTCCCGCATGGAGAAAATGTGGCAGATCGGAGTTTGTTGATTTCTGTAGTGTTGTCAGTGCTCACGTTTAACTGGGGTTCCGTGAGCGTTGGGCACCTTTGCATCACCGTGCAAAGTGCAATCCCTCCGCCATCCCATGAGGTTTGTGTCACCATTCCAGGGGACCTGCAGGTGCTCCTGGCCCAGCAGGAACCCCTCCAGCCTGGCCCCTCCTGTTCCCACCCTGGTGGGCTGGGAGTACAGTCAGAGATCCTCTGACTGACTGATAAATATCTTTACTCATCCTGCACAAGTCTTGTGACCTTGAAGGAAGCAGATAATGCACGTAACCACCCCGGCAGCATCACCCTGACAACCTGAGCTGGCACCTGGCAAAGGGAAAAATATCCCAAGGCATGAGCAATCTCTTCAGACCTGGCAGCAACAGCCCCATGGCTGGGGGGTGCATGTTTCCTCCCCCAGCCTTGCATGCTGGGGGTAGTGCCAGTGCTTCCAGTCCCCCTCCCCCAGGAATGTGGTTGCTGGACACAGGCTTGCTCCTACCTGTTCCCTGGCTGCTCCAAAAATCTCCTCTACAACTTATTAACTACTCAAGAGCGCGGTGGGATGCTGGCAGCTGGTGCCGTGCAGCTGGGATGGGGGGAGCCGTGCAACTGCCTGGCTGTACTCCACAGTACCCTGACATCCCACAGCCAGAGGGGTTGGATTTGGGTGCCACACAGTGCTCTGATACCCAGTAGCTGGTGGGTCACCTTCTATTACCCTGCAGCACTCTGAACCCCCATAGCCAGCGGGGTCACCCCACAGCACCCTGATACCCAATATATATCTGGGTCAGATGTTGTCACCCCATGTCACCCCAGCACCCCATATCCACCCGGCTTGACCTCCAGCCCCCTGCAGCACCTCTTGTCTGACCTCCACCACGCTGTGACACCCCAGTACCCCCATATGCAGCCTCTACCAACCTATGGCATCCCCAAAATACCCTGTCCTTGGCTGGGTGAGCTTCTGCCACCCCACTGTACTGTGATCACCTCCCCCCCGACCCCGAGGGCACCAAAAATCCCCACAGCCAGCTGGAGGTACCCAGGGCTGACCCAGCCTATGCAAGCAGCCCCCAGGGTTCTGTGCCCTTGCTGCTAGGGGTGCTGGGGGTCCCGGCCCTCGGGGGCACCTCGGGGTGAGTTTCCACGGTCCAGTGCTGTCACAGGGCCAGGCCCACCTGGCTGCCAGCAGCGAGCAGAGGGCGGGGACCGGGCTGCCGAGGGCCCCACGTGTGCAGGCAGGGGAGTGCCCGCGGCCCTGGGGTGCGGGAGTGACGGGTGCGCAGGTGAACACACACACAGACACACAGACACACAGAGACAGACAGGTACAGGCACACACACAGACACACACAGACAGACAGGTACAGGCACACACACACACATACACACAGACACACACAGACACACAGACAAACAGGTACAGTCACACACACACAGGTACAGGTACAGGCACACACACACACAGAGGTACAGGCACACACACACGCCCACACACAGGTACAGGCACACACACACACACACACACACACACACACACACAGGTACAGTCAGACACACATACACACACACACACACACACACAGAGGTACAGTCAGACACACACACACACACACACACACACACACACACACACCCCCTCTGCTGGCCGCAGCACCCCAGCATGCAGCTGCGCACAGAAACGCGTGGACACTTAGACACACGGACACACAGCAACAGACTCAGACTCACGGACTCATGGAGACAGACAGACATATTGACTGACTGATACACACACTCACCAACAGATTCACAGACACACACAGACTCATGGACACATAGATTCAGACAGGCACACACACGCAGACCCAGACTCACACAGAGACTAACGCGGAGGCAGAGGTGAGCAGGTGGTGGTACAGGTGCACACATACACACCCTCCACCCGCGCACATGAGGCTGCGGGGCTCTGGGCAGGGGCTCCCCTGGCAGGGCTCTGGGCCAGGAGGGGACTCCAGGCAGGGCTGTAGGGTGTGGGGATGCCCCAAGCAGGACTTTAAGCCAGGGTTATACCCCAGACAGGGCTCTGGGGAGGAGGGTTGGCACCCCAGACAGGGCTGTGGGGCACAGGAATAGGGGCAAGGCTATACCCCCAGTTCTGTGGAACAATGGGAATACTCAACAGCAGGACATGGGGCAGGGGAGATAACCCATGTAGGAATGGGAGGTAGCAGAGAGGGATGCCTTTGGATAGGGACATGGGACAGGGAGGATATTCTAGGTAGGGCTGTGGGACAGGGGAAGAGCGGCATACTTGAGGCTGGTATATGGGATAGGAGCTACTGGGGCAGAGCTGGGCTGGGACAGGGCAGTGAAACACCGCAGCCCCCGACCCTGCAATCAGAACCCCACACGCGGCGTCCCCACTTTGTCATCCCAAATTGCCCAAAGTACAGGCTGTGTCCAGTGTCATGCCGGCCTGGGGCAGCTGCCGCCGCCTGACTCACGACAGAGGAAGGGGCAAATCACCGGGGTTTCGGGGTGCTGGTCACCCCCGGCAGGACACATTCTTGTGGTGAGCAAACCAGCTCACTGGTGTTTACTGAGGAGCTGAGCAGGACCAGCATCCCTGGGGGATTCCTGAGAGCACCCCCATCCCAGCTGCTGCATCTCCCTCCCCAGTGCAGTCCCTCTGCACTTCCGCACAGCTGGGGAGGGATGAGGAGTATCCAAGTCCCTCGGGATGAGGACAAAGTGTGATGGCTGCAAGAACTCTGTGGTGACATGGGGGCAGGTTTGCTCCACTGTGATGCAGAGACCCCAAACAAATGTCAGACCCAAAGGTTACGGGAGTATCCCTGGTTTGGTGGCTCCAAAGGAAGGACACCTGCGCTGACAGGGGAGACACCTACTGCAGCATCCCCCATCCATGCAACCGGCACCCGGCAGCACCCCGGGGGTGCGCAGGAGGTGACGGCAGAAACCGCCCCGGGCACGGCGGGGCCGCGTCCCACTCACGTGTGCGGCGGGGCTGGGGTGTTCCCCGCCGCTGCGGTCGGGAGTGCCGGCGCTTTTTCCCCCGGGGGAGCGGGGCCGGGGCGGTAAATGCCGCCTCGGCTGCTTATATTTCAGGCGCGGGGCTGCTGGCTCTGCCCCGGCCAGGGCACACAGGCAGCCCATTGTTGGAGCCCCTTCGGCGCGGCGGGAGCAGGTGAGGCGGCTCCGAGCATCAATGGCAGCTCTGTCTGCCGGCGGAACGGGGAGGTGGCTGCGGCACACGGGGGCTGGGGGCGGCGGGGGACATGGACCAGCGGGATGTGTCAGGGGGCTGGTGTTTCGCTGCGGAGTGCTGGACCATGCCTGGGGCATCCCCACCCCGACAGATCCGATCGTCTTCCCTAGGGCTTTGCCGTGGCATCCCGCTTCCTCCGAACATCGCCAGTGGGGACACCCCCATTGACCCCCTTCCTGATCCATCATCTCCCCCATCCCTTCGCCAACCACCTTGGCAAAGCTTAGGGGTGTTTTCCCTGTTGGGAGCCGCTTGTTGCATAGAAACTGGACGGAGTTTTGACTTTCAGAGCGACTTCAGGCCGAAGGTCCCTTCTTTCCCTGCAGGGACCCCGCAGGTCCCGGCGTGCGGCTCCCCTCCCGATAAGAATTTGCTTTACCCTAGCGATAAACAACCTGACTGTGCATTTTTGAGTCCGTCAGAGGGATTTATGTTGGGCAAGGATGTTTTTTGGGAACATTCAGTCTCTGGGCTGTTGGTAACTAATCCTCAGCCTCCGGAGAGGAGAAGCTGCCCCACTCCTCACAGGCTCTGTGGGAGGGCTGTTGGACGTGCCTTGCTTGGCAGATGTGAAGCCAGAGATCGCGGTGGGTCATCGTTTGCTGGCGAGTCTCACCTGCCCCTTTGGGACCTTGAGGTAGGCAGGTTGGTGGGTCCACATGCAGGTCCTGGGGGATGAGGGGCTCTCGCCTCAGTGGTGTGCGATATGTGAGGTGGAACTGACACCCATGTCCTGGGTGGGAATGTCCCCAAGCCTGGACATTTGGCTTTTTGGCAGGAGATTCATGCCCCAAACCCTCTACCTGTGGGGTGTCCTCCACCCTGAGCAAGGCCAGGGTGACACAGCCTCTGCTGAGCACCCAGCAGTGCCTGGCATTGTGGTGACACTGCATTTAATGTCACCTTCCTGCCTGGGAATGTCCTCACTACCCCGCCAAGGGGCTGCACTGTGTCCCCATGCTGGTGAACCCAGGAAAAGTGTCAGAAGGTGTTTCCTGATGGATGTACCAGAACGGGAGCTCTGCCCTCACAAACCCTCTTAGTGCAGTGTAACAGGGATGGGAACCCAGGCTCCTACATGTCCTTCAAATCCCACTGCATTTGGGGCAGGGCATCCACGCCTGTCTGGGTGCTGGGGCAAGCGCTGGGTGGTGAAAGCTCAGGATGGGTTGCATGTATTGAGCAGCCTGTTTTGGCGTGGAGAAGCTTCCTGCTGAGCAAGTGGGCTGTGGTCCCACCAGGACATGTGCCTGTGCCATGGCTCCTTGCAGGTGACACTGGAGAAAATCTGGGACTGGGTGCAGGATGCACTGGGAATGAGCATTGGGACAGGGCTGTGGGGCTGGTGTCTGTGGAATGGTTGTCCTGAATGGCATGTCCTGAGGCGCTTGGTGGTCCCACCTGTGCTGCACCACCACCCTCAGGCTCCAAGAGCTCTGGGATCAGCTGCTGCTCCTCCACGCCGAGCCGGTGTCTGTTGGTCCTGCTGTCTGGCAGTGCTGGGGACACGGGGCCGGCAGTGCTGTCAGGGTGGGTGTGTCGCTTGGGAATGTGGGGAAGGGCACAGGGGCTGCCCCTGCGTGGCAGCTGCCAGGTGGAATATATGTCACGTTCCAGCATTAATAACAGTAATTGGCTGTCAGAGGCTGTGCTGGCGCCTGCTCTGCCTCTGAGGGAGAGTATGAGCAGCTCAAGCTTTGATGCTGTGCGCACGGGGGAGTCCCTGTCCCCACCTTGCCATTTGTCCCCAGCCCAGAGACATGTCCCCACGTGCCTGCGGGGACACGGCCGCTGTGAGCCACACACACACGTGGGCGTGTGGCTCTCTCCAACCCCAAATAATGCGGTGGTTACAGCAGGCGGCTGGGAGGTGAAAGCCTCAGGCAGAGTCTGGCCCCGGCGGGGATGCTCCGGAGCCTTGTAGATTAAAGGGAGCCCTTGACCACAAGGTTCTGGCCGCCGGGTAGACACACTGGTATGTGAGCAATGCGGGTGTTCCAGCAGGACAGAGGGACAGAGCCTGGGCTGCTCCTCTGGCATAAGTCAGGCAGGCAGGACTGTGACCATCTCCTTAGGGTGGGGTCTGCTCTGAGACATGGGTGTCCCCAAGCATCCTCCTGGCACCACAGTGCATGGGCCACCAGGCTTGTCCCACCGCAATGGGACATGATGCCCAGGGACATCCTGGTACAAGCAGTAGAAGCTCCAGTCTGTCACACCAAACAATAAGCACAAATGGTTGGATTGTGATGGTAACCCCAATGCTCAGGAAAACTAAGACTATCTTGGTGCCTCTTATCTTTTCCAGGGGCCTGGGATTAAGCTAGGGTGATGAAACAGTGCAATGTCCATCTGTCTGTCTATACCATCTGTCTGGTGTCATGCTGTGCCTGTGCAGGAGCTTGGAGGGAGCAGCTGGAGAGCCTGTGTGAGAGTAATGGATTAAAAGAGGACAGGTCAGCATCAGCATGGCATCAGTGTTGGCATTGGTATTGGCATCAGCACTGGGATCAGTAGGTGTGGCTCTGGGTATGATCAGTGGGATCAGTGGGTATGGCTCTGGGAGAGCTTGAGGCCACATCTGCCCCTCACAGCCCCAACCCACCCAACCCCACCACACAGGCAGTGGGACATGGGCAGAGCTGGGACAGAGCATGGCTGTGTGAACCCTGGCTTGTCACTGGAGCACAGATGAGCTGGGTTTGGGGTCTGCCCCCCTGATGCCCCAGGCAGTGCCATCTCTCCTTTGTGGGGAAATGGCAGCTGCTCTAACCGGTTTGTGGGTCTGGGCGGTGGCACCTCCCGCCCGAGGCCTAATGGAGGGCTGAAAGTTGCTGGTACGGACGCCAAAGGAGCAAACAAGAGCCTCTTGTGTCCTGCCGGGCACGGAGCCCAGCAGCCAGAGGGAACAATGTGCTCCTCCCCTGGCATGGGGCCATGGGGGGCCAGAGGCTGGGCTGATGCTAGAGCAGTGACTATGAGCTGGAGGGAAGTTGAGGCATGAAGGTGTGAAGGGACCCCATCCAAGTGATGGAGCAGAAGGTTCAGGCAGGGATGGCAGAGATATCCTGGTGTCTGGGCACCAGCTCTTCCCCTTTAGCATCCTGGGCTGAGTCCCAGCACTGCCCTGGGCATGTCCTGCCTGCCCACAGCAATGAGATGCACTGCTGCACCTGGGTGGCCTGATCCCAGTCCCCTGTGTCCTCCTCCACGGGAGCAACCGGGATATTAAGTGTCATTGCTGCAGGGAGAAATACAAGTGGAAGAATCCCGGGAAACTGGTTCTACCCCTCCGTCCGGTGCCGGCGGCAGGCCGGCGGCTGCGGCGGCGCTCCTCCCTCGGCAAAGGCATATAATGCCTGCCATGGTCCCAGCAGCCGGCACTGCGCGGCGGGAGGCGGGCAGGGAAGCAGGCAGCGAGCGATGGCCTCCATGGGGATGCAGGTGCTGGGCATCGCCCTCTCCGTCATCGGCTGGTTGGCCTCCATCCTTTGCTGCGCGCTGCCCATGTGGCGGGAGACAGCCTTCGTCGGGAACAACATCGTGGTGGCGCAGATCGTCTGGGAAGGGCTGTGGATGAGCTGCGTGGTGCAGAGCACGGGGCAGATGCAGTGCAAGGTCTATGACTCCATGCTGGCCCTGCCGCAGGACCTGCAAGCCGCCCGTGCCATGGTGGTGGTGGCCATCGTCCTGGCCATCCTGGGCACCCTGCTGGCAGTCACCGGAGGCAAATGCACCAATTGCGTGGAGGATGACACCGCCAAAGCCAAGGTCATGATCCTCTCCGGCATCATCTTCATCGTCGCCGGTATCCTCATCCTCATCCCCATCTCGTGGTCAGCCAACAGCATCATCCAGGACTTCTACAACCCGCTGGTTTCTGACTCGCAGAAGCGGGACCTGGGCTCATCCCTCTACGTGGGCTGGGCAGCCTCGGCACTCCTGCTGCTTGGAGGGGGGATCCTGTGCTGCACCTGCCCCCCCCGTGGAGAGAAGCCCTACTCTGCCAAGTTCACGGCTGCTCGCTCGCTGCCAGCCAGCAACTACGTGTAGGAGCCGCCGCTCCTGCCTGGACCCCCACCGGCCGTTCCAGGGCGCGGGGACCTCCCGGGACACGCAACCTCCCCGGCTGGGCTGGGACTGGCCGGGCGCCGGGGCGGTGCGAGGGAAGGCAGACAGAGCCGCCTTTGTTCCACCGGGGTTGAAGCCGGTTCTCTAATCTCGGTTAAGACAGGGGACAAGGAGATCCTGTCCTGGCTGTCCGCGGTGGGTGTTCTGCTCCCCCCGGAGCATCCAGCTGAGGCATCTCCTCCTCCAGCATTTCCTGGCTCCCATTATCGGGGTGTGCCATGTGGTGACACAGCTCCCAAGACCCTGTCCCACGGGTGGCACAGGGCTCTCTTTTCCCGCGTGAAGCTCCCCGGGACGTGTCTGTCCCTCGCGGTGGGTGGCGGTGTCGGTGCTGATAGGGACAGCGAACCTGTTCCACGTGGTCACAGGGACGTAGTGGTTCTGCAAACCCCGGCAGGGTCTTGAGGGGTGACAGGAGCTGTCACCTGCCTGTTCTCTAACTTTTGGCTTTGACCTACTTTCGGGGCTCGGAGCGGCCGTACGGAGTGTGATTTCTCGCGGCAGCTCCCCAGGGCGGGGTATCATTATCCTGGGAGTGGGAAGGCAGCGGCCGGGCTGGGAAAACCGGTCGGAGAGGCGGGACAGGAGCGGGGCTGTGCCCCCGCATGGTGGGGGGCGACTCCCGGACCCGACCCTATCCATCGCCCTAGAGTGGGGTTCCCGAGGCCGGGAGTGCAGTCTCACGGTACCCCTGGCTGTGCTGCCGTCCCTCCCCATGTTCAGCCTTCCCGCATTAAACGGCAGCTGCTCAGACCCCGCTGTGCCTCGTGTTCTTTACGCTCTCCAACACCCGCCTCGGTGGTGGGACAACCGGGTGCTCCTGTGCCCCGGGCTCCATCCTCCTGAAAGATCACCCAAATTTTCGGACTCTCTTGAGATCCCCGCCGCCTGCCTGTTCCAGCCCTGGCGTCCCTCGCCGTTCCCCTCCCTGGCCGCCCCGGGGGTGACAGCGGCTGCTGCCACGGCACAAAGCCTCGGCGGCGCCGGACGGGGTGTCAGGGCTGTCCCACGCCTGAACCGCCGCGATCTTCCCACCGAGCAGGAAGAAGGCGGCGGCGCCGGCCGGGGCGGGTCGGGGCGCGCTGCCCCGGTGCCCCCCAGCCCCCGCTGGGAGCGCCCCGCGGGCGGCGGGGGCAGCGCCGGCTGCTTTGCCTATCTCGCTTCCGGCACGGCAAGTGCGCTCTGGCTGGGAAACATCCTTCCTTCCCACCTCGGGGCTTGTGGGGACGGGGGTGACTCCGCCTAGCTCTGGGTGTCTCATCTGCATCTGAGGGCTGGAGGGCTCACAGCTCCTCAGCCCCTTCTCTGGGCACAGGAATGGTGGAAAATATGCCTGTAACCCTGTGGTGCCGGTGGCCAGACGGGAATGTGAGCACAACGCTCTGTCGAGCATCCCTGGGGATCCATGGAGACACCACTTGTCCCCCTGCAGGGGGTCGTAGATCCTGTTTTGGGTGTCTTGTGTGGCCAGGTCCTGCTGGCTGGGGAAGGGTGCCCGGAGCACAGGGGGAGGGGCTGTGATTTTGGCCCAAAGGGTCTTTCATGGCCCGGGGAATGCAAAGTCCTGGTGCCGGGTGTCCATCAGGCTCCTGAGGGATAAAAGATGCTGGGTAAGGAGTGGGGATACAACGGCAGAGAGGCTGGAGAAACCAAAACTGAGACAGGGGAAATGATGGTGAAACCTCTGGCAAGAACTGCAGGGTGTGCCAGGCACAACCGATACCTGCTGATCTCAGGGCCATAAAACCCTGGCTGGTCCCAGCTGCCAAGCACAGCACGGGCACCCATGGGTGAACTCTGCTCCGTGAGGGGCTGAGCTGGATGTGGGCTGAGCCAGGGCCACAGCAATCACACGTGACCATGGTGGAGCTGCCAGTGTGCCCAGCATGTGTCCCTGTGCCGACCACCCCTCTCCCAGGGATGCCACCTGTGGTGACCCCATAGCCCCTCAGCAGGGTTTGTTCTCTTGGGGCTGCTCCTGGGACTTCTCCGGGATGGTATCACAGAAGGTGCTGAGCCCCACGCCTGGGATCAGGGCAGAGCTGAGCTCTGACCCATTTCCCTTTTCTTCTGGAGAGGAGATCCTTGGTCCAAAGGGCACTGTAGGATGGCTGTGAAGGTGAAGCCAAACCAGGAGCAGGCAGTGCTGAGCGGTAGGGGGGGGCTGCCTTCCCTGCTGTGCCCTGTGCCCTCCCCTGTGCCCCTGACACGAGGCTTGTGACCAGGGAGGCTGAGCACCCGTGGTGGAGTGGGACATGGGATGGGCACTGGGGGATGGCCACCAGGGCAGGACGTGGGGTGGGGGGTTTGCACTCTGGAGCACTGGGGGATGGGCACACCTAGCCCCCCATCCTGCTCCCCAAAAGCCTTCCCTGACACTTGCCATGCCCTGGGAAGGGATGATGGCAGAGGCTGTGCTGTGCTGTGGGGAGAGTGTAAGAGCAAGTGTGACACACAGGGGCTCCTGCACCTTGGCCTGCTTGGGGCCTGGGTCCTTAGTGCCACATGTGTCCCCATCCTGTCCTGCAGCACCACCCCACGCCACTCATGTCCCTGTGTCCTTCAAGTCCCCGAGTCACCCATGTCCCCATGCTGTCCTGCAGCCATTCCCATCCCGGTGGGGAGCAGGACATACCAGATGAAGCCCAGGCTGTCCCTGGCTGTGGGCTGTGCCTGTGACACTCATGTCTGTCCCCGCAGGAGCTGTCAATGGCGATGATGACAATGCAGATGGGAGGACTGATAATGGCCACGCTGGGCTGGCTGGGCTCCATCCTCACCTGTGCCCTGCCCATGTGGAAGGTGACGGCCTTCATCGGCTCAAACATCGTGGTAGCCCAGGTGTTCTGGGAAGGGCTGTGGATGAACTGCGTCTATGAGAGCACAGGGCAGATGCAGTGCAAGGCCTACGACTCCCTGCTGGAGCTCACCTCTGACCTGCAAGCTGCTCGTGCCCTGGTGGTCACCTCCATCTTCGTGGCCTTCCTTGCCTTCTTCATCGCCCTCTCGGGAGCTGACTGCACCCGCTGTGTGGATGACAATGGCACCAAGACCAGGATCTCTGCTGTGGCAGGTGTCATCTTCATCATGGCCAGCATCATGCTGCTCATCCCTGTTTCCTGGTCTGCCAACAGCATTGTCAGCAACTTCTACAACCCCATGGTGCCTGAGGCCCTCAAGAGAGAGCTGGGGGCTGCCCTCTACATTGGCTGGGCCTCCAGTGCCCTGCAGCTCTTTGGTGGGGGCGTCCTGTGCTGCTCAGGATCCCAGTCCCAGCAGGACCCCTACCCCAAGAAGTACAGGGCAGTGAAAACCTGTGGCCCAATGGGCTATCCCATGAAGGACTATGTGTGAGCCACTGTGCCCAGGTGCCAGCCCAAGGCAGAGCACCACTGTCCCTGTCCTGCATCCCCGTGCCACACCCTGCCCCTGCACTTCCTCCTCCTGCCCATCCCCTTGCTGGCCAACCCCCAGCACGGTCCCCACATGCACCCTTCCCCAGGGCAGGGACTATAAACATCCTGGTGCCACCAAGGCTGCCTGGGCTCATTTTGAACAGCGCGGTGTGGGGAGGATGGTGACGCGTCCTGGGGGTGCTGTGCCCTGCCAGCTGCTGTGTTCCAGCACCTACAACATCCCCAACTTCCCATGGGGATCAGCAGTAGTCAGCCAGGGTGCTCCTGGCATTCCCTGCAGCCGGAAACTGAGTCAGGGGGAGGATGCTGAGAGCTAAGAGAGGCATGAGGGGACACCAGGTGCTCTGAGCCCCCATGGACTGGGAGGGGACCCCAGAGAAAGGCTGAATCCCCCCTCCCAGGCTCCTGGCCACCCACCCTGGAGGGTGCACATTCCCATTGCTCTGGGAAGAACACGCAGCAGACAGACAGCAGGGACAGGGGTTTATTGAACAGGCAAGTGCAGGGCTGGGGACAGCCACAATCCCCAGCTGCCCGGGGGACAGTGTTGGAGACAAATGGGGAGGGAGCAGTAGGACAGCTACTGATGGGTACAGGGACCCCAAAACATGGGGGACAAAGCAGAAGGTTCATAAGAGCCATGGGGAGGGTGAGTGTGGAAGATGTGGGATGTCCTGGGTGAGGAACAGGGACAGACACAGCCATTGCCTCACACTGAGGAAAAGCTCCTGAGGGGAAGGATGCAACCTCTTCTCCAGGCACATGGGAACAGGATGAGCAGGAACAGGTCTGAGGGAAGGGAAAAATGAAAAGAAACCAAATATTCCAGTAAGAGATTTGGGTAAAAAACTTCCCAAGGAAGCAGTGGAGGAGGAATCGTGAAGGCAGCCGAGCAAGGGGCTAGGGGAACAGGCTGGGCAGGCAGTACTGGGTGGCTCCTGGGTGGGGAGCAGCTGCCAGTTCCCCATATCCCTTCCAAACTCATTTCCCCTCCCAGACCATTAACTACAAAGCCGTGGGAAAATGAGATTCAAGCAGCTGTTGTGGGATGTAAGGCAGATGTGGCACTTGGAAAGCCTCTCCAGCTGGGAGTCACCTTGGCATTGCTGCTTTGACTCTGGATGTGGAGGCTCCTGCACCTCAGGGCTGGCTCAGTCGCTAGGAGGATGAGAATGGGAGGCCACAGGACACAGCGGTGGGAACCCACCTCCAGCCATCCCCAGGTAAAGACTCTGGGGGTAGGAGATGAAGAAGGATCCAGATGTTGACCATGAGTGCTGAGATGGGTGAGGTGGGGAGAAGACATCCCAGACTGGAACATCCATGTTCCAAGACATCCCATGCCTTGGAACAGCCATGTGGGTCTGTGAGATGTCACAGTGAACGTTGAGGTGCTGGGGTCAATGCCTAAATGTCAGAGCTAAAGGCGGTGACCAGGAGACCCTGGTGAATCCAGGAGACCCTTCCTGTGCTGAGGAGCAGACAAGGGCCCCAAGCCCAGACCTCGGTGAGAAGGAACAGAGGAAGGGAATGGGGAAATTCCCCCAGAATATTGTCACCCCCAGCAGCTGCCCTGCTGCAGGAGGGGGTCACTGGGTTCAGTTTAATAAAGGGTCAAGTGCTCATCCCCCCTCCAGAGCCGTGGTAGCTCTCAGCCCTCCTCGAGGTGGGGAACAGGGCACTTCTGGTAGATGTAGACCACCCCAGAGATGTAGCCGGTGCCCTGGGTGCTCTCCTCCTCTGTGGTGGCCCTCTCCCAGTACTCCACTTCCTGGGCCAGCAGCTTCTGCCAGGCTCCGCTCTGCTCCAGCTGCCCCAGCGCTGCCTCCAGCTCCGCCTTGTACCGCAGGTTCGAGGGGTTGCTCCTCGTCGTCAGGCACAGGAAGCCGCCTGCGGGACAGGAGACAGGTAACACTGTGTCCCTCTCTGGGGACCGCATCCCCCGGAAAGGGTGGGGACACGGGGAGGCACTGAGAGCCTGCCAGGAGTCAGTGGGCAGGGGACAGACAGGGCAGGGCACGGGCACAGACAGGGCATGGACAAGGCAGCGGGCAGAGGATGGGCCGGACAGCAGGCAGAGATGGGCGGCACAGGGGCCGGTGGGCAGGGGATGGGCGGGATGTCACACACCAGCACCGTTACTGCCACCTCCTACCTTGTCCCGCTGCCCAGACCTGGCAGTGGGCAGGGTCAGGGACCCCGTGCATCGCCCGTCCCTGGCAGCAGGGACAAGGCCGCGTCCCAGCTGTGCCACGAGTCCAGCGTTCAGCGGGTGACCCACATCCACCCGGGCTCGGGGTCCCATCCCAGCACCCCGGGGGTCCCGGCGAGAGGGGAAACGGCCCCCCCTTACCCGGCTTGGTGACCCGCAGCAGCTCCGGCAGCACCGTGCTCGGCACCTGCCCCTCGCCCAGGGCCCCCACCACCGTCACGGCGTCGTAGTGCTCTGCGAGGACACGGGGCGTCACCGGGGGGGACCCTCCGGGGCTCCCCCCGCCCGGTGCCGGCCCGTCACCCGTGGGACACGTGGGTGCCACCGAGGGGTCCCGGGGGCCCGCCCCCCCCGTTACCTGCGGGCGCGGGCAGCGGCTCCCTGCCCAGGACGCAGAGCCGCAGCTCCTGGTAGAGCCCGGTGCTCCGTGCCCGCTCCAGCATCCCCGCGCTGCCGTCCACGCCGTGCAGGCAGCGGAACCCGTGCCGGTGGAGCTGCGGGGACAGAGGCACCGTCATCCCCGCCCCATCCCGATACTCCCGTCCCGTTACCCCCGGCTCGTCCCGCCCGTACCTCCCGCGCTACGAGCCCGGTGCCACAGGCTACGTCGAGGAGCCGCGCCTCCGCAGGCGGCGCGGGGAAGGCGAAGGCGAGCGAGGCGGCGGCGAGATGCGGTGCCCGGTACTCCAGAGCCGCCACATCCTGCGGGGACACGGCGGTCAGCGGGGATGCCCACGGCCCCCCGGCGCTCCCGTTCCCTCTCTGTACCCGGTACCTGCTCGTAGCGGGCGGCCCAGCCGTCGTAGAGCCGCAGCCGTTCGGGCAGCGTCGAGCTCCGGTGAGCCGCGGCCACGCGGTCCCGGACCGCCGCCGGCAGCCCCATCCCGGTACCGCTCGGTACGGCCCGGGCCAATCGACCCGCACCGCGCCCCGCCCCCGCGCCCATTGATCCGGAGGCTCCGCTACGGCCACGCCCCCAAAGCCCATTGGCTCCGCCTCCCGCTCGCGACGCGCCCCCAGTGCCTCATTGGCTTCTCTGCTCGCCCAGGACACGCCCCCAACGCGCGTTTCCACAATGACCCCTCCCAGGACTGCCCCCCTGAACACGCGACCCCGCCCGGGCCAATTGACTGGGGCCGCCCCGGCGCCCGCCCCGGCCACGCCCCCGCGCTCCATTGGCCGCCGGAGCTGCCCCTCGGGGCGTTGGGAGCGACCAAGTGCGCCGGGAAGCGGGGGGGGGGAAGGAGCCGCTGTCCGGGGATCTCAGTGAGTGGTGAGCAGTGGCCCAGGGCGGTGTCTGTCACGTGCCCTGGGAGATGACCAAGTCCTCAGATGTCCTGGGGGCGTGACACCGAATCCCCACGGGGAGTGGCACCAGGGGCCCCAGCGCTGCCACCGTCTCCCAGCAGTGTCCACTGTTTCTGCTGCTCTGTCAGCTGTTGGGGTCAGTTCCCATCGCGTCCCTCATGTCCCAGGCGCGGGGACAGTGTCACCTCCTGCCGGGCCCTGGCCCCAGCCCCACACGGCCCCAGGGCTGCGCTGTCATCTCCATCCTGCATGCGCATCTCCTTCTTCCGTTCCGACGCCACTCATTGCGGCCGCCACGCGAGCCCGCCGTGTCGCACTGTGTGCGGCAGTGACAAGGCGGGACTGCCCCCGGGGGGAGGCCACCCAGCACCGGGCAGCTCCTGCTTGTCCTGACCTGCCCATGGCCCCCCTCGGGCGGGGGTCATTCCGCGCTGCCCCGTGGGGACAGGGGACAGGAGCGGGCCGTGGCTGGGACGGGCAGGCACAGCCTGGCTCCTGCGAGGAGCCGGGAGCTGGGCTCGATGATCGCTACCGGGTCCTCCCAGCTCGAGGTGTGCCATGAGTGTATGACCGAGGTGAAGTTCGGGTTTGGCCCAGAGCAACAAACAGCTCTGAGAACCCGCGCGATGCACAGACAGGGGCAGGATGTCACCTCCAGGTGACAATTCTCTGGAGTATTCACCTGATCCAGGTGCCCAGCGTTTGTGACGTTCCGTGTCCAGCTTCGCTGTCTCTCGAAGGGCTCTCCCTGCGAGGTCACTGCGGGAGTGTCCCGTTACCGACCTTTGCTGTGGCAGCGAGGGCGAGGGACGAGCTCTGGGATAAGTCACGGCTGTGCCCATCGCCTCCGGCTGTTCCCAGCAGCCAAACAGACGGATCCAGCCGCTAATTAGTGAACGATTCAGCTGCTAATTAATGACGGGCAGAAAATGCGGAGCCCTGACGGAGCCGGTGGCCGCTCCGAGGCCGCGTTGGTGGCCTCGTCGCCTCCTCTGTCCCTCCCTGGGGACCTGCCCGCGTCACACGCGGGGACAGCTCAACCCGCGGCCGGTCAGTGCGGGCCGGGACCCTCGAGAGGGAGCCCTCCGCCCGCGGACGGACCCCGCAGGCACGCCCGGGAACGCGCTCGGGGAATTTCTGGCGGAGCGGCAGGAGGGCGCGGGGCTGGGGGCGGCGAGGGCTCGGCCCGGGACAGCAGGGACCGTCCCACCCCCCCGAGGGCACAGGGATGGCTCCCGGGCGGCGTCCGCTGGGGCTGCAGCCCTGTGGCAGCTCCTGCCACTGCTCACGGGCATTTTGTCCCCCCTGCTGCCACCAGCGTGGGCCCAATCCTGTCCCTCGTGCTTGGGAGGGCCGTGGCCTCCAGCAAGGGCTCTCACAGCCTCGTCATGGCTCCCACCACTAACTGGACCTTCCTTTACGAACCAGTGCCAGGATGCACTGCCAGCACCCCCTGTCCCTGCTCTGCTGGCCTAGGGGCCACTGGGCCTCGTCTTCTGCAGCCTTGACCCAAATTCAGGATCCAGCCCTGAATTTGCCGGTGCTTTTTCCATCCCCTTGCCGTGGCTGGCTGGCTCTGTCACAGCACAGCTGTGCAAACACCTGCGCCCCGTGCCACCCCCACGGCTCTGGGCTGGCTGGGACCCAGCGTGGCCCAGCTGGAGTCTGCACAGGACCTGTTGCCAGCCTTGGATGGCCTGGGCTGTCCCCACTGAGGGCGGGGGACAGAGGTGGCAGCAGGTAGTGGCAGGTTGGAGTGTCCCATGGCTAGTGTTGGTGTGAGGCTGGACTTTGTCCTGACACGTGGCCCAGTGCTGGCGGGCTCCCACTGGGTCACAGGATGTTCCTCTCGGATGGTGCAGTTCCGTGGGACACTGTCCTTGTCCCCTGCCTGGGGACAGGGGTCTGTCTGTGCCCTGATGGGGTGCTGGGACCCTGGAGCTCGGCTGAGCTGCCCTGATGGAGTGTCCCCAGCACCCCTCAAAGGGACCTGGGGGGACATGTGCCCTCAAGGCAGGGGCTGAGCCCCCAGAGCCCACAGATCTCTGCTGTGACCTCGCCTGCCTCCCTCCCCAAGGAGCTGCTGCAGGGATGGAAGCGTAGCTTAGGTGGGTTCCTTGCCTTCAAACCTGCCACCGAGCTGGGGCAGGAGTTGGGAAAGCCCAGGTCTGTGCTGGGTTTGGGCCAGACATTTCCAGGGTGGGCAATGTCACCTGGCACCAAACCTGCCTGCAGGTCCCCCCTCTGAGCCTTCCTGGATCCCCAGGCGAAGTGTGTGGTGGCATTGGTACCCTGGGCAGGTGGGCTTGCATGGCCCAGGGCCTGTGCAGGGCAGCCCTGGCACATCCTTGGCCCTTGGGGTGGGACTGATGCTGTTGCCCTGGACATCCCAATGATGTTGGAATGTCCCTAAGCTTCTTCATCAGGCTGGAGTGACAGAATGCTCAGTCCCACGGCCTTGTGTGCCTCAGAAACTTCCTGGGTGGCCCACACAGTCCCTGGGTCCTGTGGTGTGGATGTCCCTAGATGCTTGGAGGGACACAACCGTGGACTTCGCAGCTTCTGGCTCAAAGGAATTTGGGGATAGTCATGGTAACTGTCAGTGGAGGCTGTCAGGGTCATGAGCTGCATCTCTGTGAATCTGTCCTAACTGCAGTTTCTTGGTGGTGCAGGAGCCTACCAGCACCAGGGAATATCTTCAGGGCATCCCAAGACATTTCCAGCTCTGGAAAAGGGCCCTTCATGGTCCTCTGAGCTCTCTGCTCTCTTCCTGAGCTGGGAAAGCATGGACAGCCATCCCATGGTGGAACTTGAGCCACACAAGGTGGAAGTGGAATGCTCTGCTGGGTGCAGAACTGGGCAGAGCAGGGAAGGAAAACCCTGTGGGGTGGCAGCCAGGTGGGATCTGGAGAGCCTCCGTGGGAGACGGAGGGAGGAGGGAGGTTCAGGTTGGATATTAGGAAAGATTTCTTCACAGAAAGGGTGGTTAGGCCCTGGCACAGCTGCCCAGGGCAGTGGCGGAGTCCCCATCCCCGGAGGGGTTTAACAGCCCTGCAGACGTGGCACTTGGGGACATGGGGCAGTGGTGGCCTTGGCAGTGCTGGGGGAATGGTTGGACTCAATGATCCCAGAGGGTTTTTCCAGCCTTAACGATTCTGTAATCTTTCCATGGCTGGGGAGCTGACAGACAGCAGGACAGGGCCGAGGTGGCTGGTGGGGTTTCACACACCCTGGCTGGGATTGCTCTGCACGCACATCCTTAGAGGACAGAGCATTTTCCTTTCTCAACATCCAAACGTGATTGGAGTCTGTCCACTTCTCCCCTGACCCCCATCCCTCTGGTGTTCAAAGACCGTGGATTTTGCCCCCTGAGCCCCGCTCAGACGCCTGAGTTCGCCTGGGTCGCTGAGTTCCTGCGCGACTTCTGAGTCTGCAGTCTCGGCGTTGCTGGGACTGAAGGGGCCCGGGGCTGCTGTCACCAGCCCTGCTGCCCTGGTCCCGCCGCCCGCAGGGCTCCGGGCCAGGTGACGAGGAGGGGCTGGGCTGTGAATCCGCGGAGCTGGGCGGAGATCGGAGCGGGGGCACGGCGGGAGCGGCTCAGGAACCGATTCAGGGGGCTGGGGAGGGCTGCGGTGCCTCCAGCCGGCCGCGCTGCCCACGAGCCCCCGGGACCTGGGCTGTGGCTGTCACTGCGGAGGGCACTGGCCATAGCCCGTGCCTGGGGCCAGCAGCAGAGGGACGTCCCTGCCGTGCTGAGAACGTTCTCTGGCCGCTGTGCTCCTGCATCAGTCCCAGCCTCTGCACGTGTGTCGCCTGCATCCCATCCTCGCTGCAGCCCCAATGTGCCGTGCTCCCCTCCCTCCCGCACTCCAGTCCGCGGTGCTTCCATCCCTCTTGCATCCCAAATCCTTGATGCTGCTCTTCCCTGAACTCCCAGCGTGTGGACTTCACCCTCCCTTTGTGCTCCTGGTGCACAGAGCTCCACACCCCCTCTGCCCCTCAGCTCCACACCGTCACAGGGGCATGGTGCTCCCACACTGGTGACATTCCCATTTGTCCTTATCCCCATCCCAAATGCCAGTGGTTCCATTCACAGTGTGTGCTCTGGCTGCAGTTCTCATCTGAGCTCAGCCTCCTCCTCACCTCTGAGCATCCCCACAAACCACATCTACATCCCCAGCTCATGGACCTCACTCCTTGTCCCCCTTCTGCCTTGTTCCCTCTTGTCTCCATTGTCACCTGCTCCTTTCCCCTGGCTAGGGATTTCCCACCCTGACCATATCCAACACACCAGAGGCCTCAGGTCCCACCCCCCAAATGTCCTCTGTTTCTGAACCTTTTTCCTCTGTCACACCCCATCACCTCCTGGACTCATCTCCTGTCCCTCACAGCCCTTCCCGCAGCCAGGTGAGTTCCCCTGGTGCTGCCTCCCTGTTCCCATTCCCACAGGCAGTGTCATGACATCACTGACACCTTGACACACCTCAGACTGGTGACTCAGCGTCCCTCCTGGGACAGCACCTCTGGAACTCATCATCTTCGTGGAACAGCACCCTCGTGACTCAGAGTCCTTTGTGGAACAGCACCCTCGTGATTCAGTGTCCTCAGGTCCACCCCAGGAGCTCCCTGTTCCCATCCTGGGACACAGTGTGACTCACTGGTCACATCCCTGCCACTCCTGGGATTCCAGGTGTGGCTGCCCCACAGTCCCGTGGCTCGGTGCAAGCCA